AAATGTACGTGTGTGTGTGTGTGTGTGAGTTAATTTGATTTTAATTATGTAGCACTGGGTGAGGCAGAACTCCTGGCTGGCGTTATTATTGTTTCGGTTTGTTTCGTTTGCGGTTAATCAGCAGCCCGTGGCATTAATATTTTGATTGCCGCATGCCGCAGCAGCCAATGCAGCAGCAGAAGTAGCGGCAGAGGCAGCGGCAGAAGTCAGCTAAGTGTTGCAGGCAGCCACAGAAATTGACAATTAAAAATAATTTGAAATGCAGACGCCAAAACGTGCAGCGACAATAAAACGAGCGCATTTCATTAAAATTTCAAGTCAACTCAACTGTGCCACACACACACACAAACACACACACGCACACTTGTGCACAACAGGCTGACAGCCACGCCCATACGCCCATCATGCACAGCGAATGCGAATATAAAAGCGACAGCAATTTAAAATTAGTAAATGTTAAAGCACAGCAACAAAGTGCAGAACGTGGTGGAGGAGCTACATGGGAGTAGAGAGAGAGAGAGAGGAGAAAGAGAAGGGGAGGGAGGAGTGAGAGAGAATGTGGGCAGCAGAGGAGCTGCCTCGAGGGGTAAAAGAGCCGAGTGTGTGCCAGGCTAGGTGAGGTTTGGCTAAATGGGAGCAACACGAACTGGTCTGCAATTAAAAACAAGTGAATGTTTGCCATCGTCAAGCAAGTGGCACGCCAAATACCCTGTAAAAATAATGTAGGCACTTCCAATTTTGCCAGAGTAGCAAAGGCAACGAATCAAATTTGGAAAATAAATTAATTTAAAATTATATTCAAATATTGAATTGAATTAGGACATCAATATTGCAGATATATTCTTAATAAAAATAAAAGTAAAATTTATTTTTACTTTAGAATAGAATTATGAAAAAAAAAAAAAAAATTGTACATCATAAATTACAAACAAAATTAATTAGAGGAACATGTCAAAATTAAATTTATTGTTTAAAATGTAATATATTTAACTAAAACTCAAGCTAAGTAAATAAAAATATTTTTAAAATTAAATTTAAACAGAATAAAATCAAGAAACAACAAAATGTATAAAATATTAATATAAAATTAAAATATAATAAATTATTATAAAATAAAATTTAAAAAAAAAAATAAATGATTATTATACAATCTAACTTAAGTATAAAAAAAATTAGAAAAATGAATTAGAAATTATAAGAATTTTATTTAAGTGTAATTTAAATTTTGCTGAGCAAAGCGCATACTACTTACAAAAAAATTATTATAAAAATTAAGTAAAAATTCTAGGACAATATAATTTAAATTAAATTAAATTATAGTTTTGCTGAGCAAAGCTCCTACTACTTACAACAAAATTATTATTCAAATGAAATAAAAGTTATATGAATATTTAATTTTAATTAGATTAAATTTAAGTTTTGCTGAGCTCGTGCCACTTACATAATACTTACGCATCGAGGGCCATATCGAATATAATTTGATATTCTGGTTGGCTTTTGTGTGCAGTGTAATGAGAGGGTATCCTTTTTGGGGGGAGCAGTTGGAGTGCTTGTTGAGCTGTTATTCCCGGCCATTGTCGCATGTCGTCTGTGAAACTTAAAACGTGCAACTAAACTGCAGCGTTTTACAGACAACTTGCCACACTGGCCGCACGGCCATGCCCCACTGGCTAAGCCCCAACTGCGCCGCTGGCGAACTCCCAGCTGTGCTGCTGCTTCACACTCGCTGTTTATAGGCTACCAACACTCTCTGCACCCCCCCCCCCCACTCTCCCTCCATCCCTCCCTCTCGCTCTATGTTCGAGTTGGGCCCGCTTTATGGGCCTTAAAGCGTGCGGGCCAAGCCGCTTAAGTGGGCTGTTAAGGGCTTGTTAATTTTATTGATACCAACGCCCGATCGAATGTTGTCGGCCCCCGCTACCCAAGATAAGGAGGCGTGGCACACTGAACCAACGGGGGCAACAGCAATTGGAGCAAGTGGTGCATTGGCACTCGACGTTGACATGCTCGACACATGTTGCGGCCAAGCGAAGCCCCCAAGGATGTGTATAAATTTATGTGTGTGTGTGTGCGGCCTGCATTGGTATGCAAGAAGTATACAAACTGACCCACTGCAGTCCAAGCCGGGCAGAGCCCAAAAGTCAAAGGCAAAGTTGGCCACTGAGCAAATTGAGCTGAAAATTTCATCAAATTAAGATATGTTAACAGACAGACAGAGAGAGAGAGAGAAAGAGAGTGAGTGACAGAGGGAGAGAGATGGGAAGTCTGACAGCAGGACAGAAGGCTCAGGATGAAATTGATGTCGATTTTCCAATTAACGAACAAGGCCACAGAAATATGAAAACCGCATGAAATTAATTCAAATTTGCTCGAATATTTAATGAAAAATTATTATGGATAATATTATTGTTATTATTGATATGTTCAGGCGAATATGTAAATACGAGTTGTGTTTGTTCTTATGCCTGAAATCATTCTGGCCTGCATTTGGCTACATTTTGTGTATCTTTCATCTCAGTAGACCTCTGAATATATCTGAGCTCATACTCTCTCATAGTCTCCATGGATTCATCCAAGTTACTTACCGTCGCAGCTCTGTAAATAAATCCACATATCGAATAAAATAAAATAGGTTTCTTAATATCTTGAATTTCAGTTTATTCATTATTCCAATCGCTGGTAAATCCTAGTATACATATATAGAACTTGGGCTTTACATATATATACTAGGTCAGATTATAGCCTTTGGTAGTTACCGTTTGATCTGTTCAGCTTTTACTGTTCCATGCTCTGCGCTCAATCGAGTCAATCTTTGGCTAACTTGGGCTATATATATATATCTATGTATATCTATATAGAGTATACATACATATATGTATTTTGGCATACCTTACACACACATACACATTCATATCAATTATCAATTTAATGCATAACTTAAGTTAAATAACAATCACATTTACTTATTCTGTTTTTTTGTTTTCTCCATTTTTCATTTTCTTTTTTTTGTTTTTGGCTTTTTTCTTATTGAAAAAAAAAAGAAGGATTCCGGCACTTGCCTAAATATTAATTCTATTTGGGATTATTTAAGTATATATCATATATCATTTAATCAGTTTTATATATATGTATTAATTATATTTATCTTTTTATGTTGTGCCTGCTCCGTAAAACCGCGAATTGTCAATAAAACAATTGAAAACAATCGAAAGATAACAAAAAACTTAAAAAACTTTCGTTCCACCGTTCGTTTGTGGAACTGATCGGAACCGATCTACATATATAACTTGCTATATCCTTTGGGTATTGCATATATAATTCTCTACTTGTAAAAAAAAACACAAACACGTACCACTTGCAGTGCACGTATTTCTCTTACTTTTTTTTACTTTTCTTTGATTTATGTATCATTTATCCTTTAGTTCTAGAATGTTTCTGCTTCTTCTTCTTCTTCATTTCTATAATATTGAGTTTTTCTTCCTCTGTAATAAATTTTTTTACGTCTATTTATTTTGAGAGTTATTTTTGTTTGGTTTTCTTTTGCTTGTATTGTATAATTGTTTACGTTGAGTTCTTTAAATTACGTTTTTTTTTCGGAGTATTCAATTGTTTATCTTAGTTATACATAGTACATCCATACATAAGTATATAGTTCATGCTTTGTTCTGAATCTGAAGTCCTTTGTTTTGTTTTTCTTTGTATCTTACTTTTCTTGTTTGTAGTTTGCTTTTATATTACCAAAAAGAAAACTATTAGCTAGTCGCTAGTGGTTCAAAGAGTACACAAGTTTTGCTCGCGTATCGTATTTTGTATAAGTAAAGTTCTTATATATTGTATAAATTGTTATTGTAAATTGTGTTTTCTTGTCTTGTTCTATATAAATTTCGGCACATTTGATTACGTTTCACAAAGAAAATTGAAAATAAATGTCAATAAATATCGGAGTACGAGACTTGTAGATACGCCTTGCACGCATCTTCACACCTGTTTGTGTCTATCTATGCCAAGTGTATGTTGAATTGAAGAAATATCTTAATGTAAACCATTGACACTTGAACTGATAAGCTAATGTTTATATTAGCTAAGTTAGTTGCAGCACTATTAGTGATTATCCGTAGATCTGTTGGCCCTATGGAGCTACGATCGAGCTTAGTTTGCACACCAAAACTCACAGCTCTGCGGCTGGCAGAAGCTGAGTTCACTGGGTCAGTGGCGGACATCATAGATCTCTTCAGCAGAGCTTCTGCATCTAAAGTGTTAATGGTGAGCTTAGTGCGCATACCAAAATGCAAAGCTCTACGGCTGGTAGAAGCTGAGTTCACTGGGCTGCTATGAAAAGTAGTGCGACTTTTCCACAGAACTCTTGCATAGCTTGAGTTTGGTATGAGCTCAAGCTGTAACCCGAAATTCAAAGCTGTGCTCTTTGTAGAAGCTGAGTTCACTGGGTATCTTTAGAGCTTGACTGAGATCCCAATAGTCCCGCATATCAAATTTTATAGCTCTATCTGTGGAAAATGCTGAGTTCCCTTGGCTAGTAGTTGGCATTGTTAAGGACTGTCATACCTCGCTAAACTCGACTTGCAAAAGCATAGTTCACTCGGTAATTTGGCTCGATATTGGCTTGCGCAATCAATAGATAGCTGAACAGTTTGTGTGCAAACAATTGAAACGTATTGTTTATGCATTCTCTAATTGTGTTTCGGGTATTTTGTATATCATTGTTTCTGTTTGGCGGTCATGGGGGAGGGAGGGGGCGCTGGGGGCGTTATATTATTTGGTTTCGGTGTTTGGCTTATTTGTTAGTTATTTGTAGATAGACATTGAAATAGCTGTAGCCGCAAATAGACAAACAATTAATTATGTTTTATTTGTAATATTAATCGCATTTGAATTGTTCTTACATATTATTTTTAGCTTTTTCTTATGTTTGCTCTTTCTTTTTGTTTTTATTATCAATATTTGAAAAATCAACAAACAGTTAAGTGGAAAAATTGAAATTCTTTTAGCATTATTTTTATTTTAATAATTTTTTTTTTCTTTTTTTTTTTGATTATTTTATGATGCCTAACGCTTAGTCTAGCCTAACCATTCGACACACACGAACACACATGTGTGTTTGTGTATGGGTGGGAACACTCACCCACCTCTTGCAAAAAAAAAAATATAACAACACCCACGTTGATCGAGTTTCTAAATAGCTTAGAGATTAGTATATATTGAGTACTCTTGCATAGCATACCTTCTTTCACTGCTTGCAGTTTCTGCTTCTTCTTCTTCATAATGCTGTTTCTTCTTCGTCTTCTTCTTAACTGCCATTCACATCGACGGCCATGGGCTGCGGCACCGCATGTATGCCGTTCGCGAGGCTCCCAGCGCACAATGTCGCACCGCTGGGCGAGGCGGGGGGCGAGGCCGGCGGCGTCAGAGTCGATGGTTGCTCCTGCCCGGTGCCAGTTCCATTGGTGTGTTCAGCGGTGTTTGGTGGTGCGCAAATTTTGCCATTGGCTAGCTTCAGCTGCTGTTTCGGCTCCTGCTCCTTTAGCTCCTTCTGTTTCTGCTCCTCTTGCTCTTCTTCCTCCTCCTCCGCGTCCTCGTTGTGCTGGTGTCCATTTCCAATGGCTGGCTCGCTGAGCGGTGGCGGTGGTGGCGGCAATGAATCCAATTGATTCGATTCCATCAGCGTAAAATCGTTGAGCTCCTTAATCTCCTCGGTTGAGGGCGGCGCCGGCAGGCTCATCAAGCTGTCATAATTGTTCTCTGGTTCCTCCTTTGCCTGCTGCTCCTTAGCATCTTCCACATTCACAGTTATCTGCCCAGCCTCTGTTTCGTTCTCATTTCCAAAGGCAGCTGGTGCTGGCACCGGCTGCTCCTGTTCCTCCTGCTGCTGCTGCTGTTCCTGCTGCTCCTGCTGCTTCTGCTGTTCCTGCTGCTGCTGTTGATCCTGTTGCTCCTGCTGCACCTGCTGCTCCTTCTTCTCCTGTTGCTCCTGCTGTTCCTGCTGTTCCTGCTGCTCCTGTGGCTCCTGCTGCTCCGGCATTCGCTCTGGCACATTGGCAGCTCCAATTTCCAGCTGAGACATAAGCACCATGGGCGAGTCATTGGCATAGCCAGGCTGCTCGATGACATAGAGCTCCTGGTTGCCATAGGAGTAGCGCTTGTTCGAGTCGCTCGAGGAGGTGGAGCTCAAGTCAGACTGGGAGAGGCCCGTTTGGGACTGTATGGGCTGCTGGCGGTCAGTGTCATGCTCCTCATCCGGCAGCAGCTGCTCCTCCTCGATGAGCTGCAGGCCCACAGCTGCGCCCACGCCGACTGCAGCTGGCTGATTGGCAAAATCGCTGGGTGGTGCATGGATCTGGACTTGTTCGTGGCTGGGCGGCAGGCTGCGCTCCTCCAGCGTCGACAGCTTGTTGCTAGTATCGAAGGGCAGCTCCGTGATGTCTACGCCAGCGGCGGGGCTATCCGGCGGCTGTTTCGAGTCAATGCCGCGTGCCACCTCCACCACAAAGACGCCGTCCTTGTCCGTGTGCATCTTCGTCTCGCGGGCGTTGCGCGAAATGTCCTGAAGTAGCGAAAGAGAGAGAGAGAGAGAGGGAGAGAAAGAGAAAATAGCGAGAAATCAGCAAAGGAGCGCCAACAGTGGGACAACACTTGCAACGGACACGGACACAGACACAGTGTGAGTGAGCGAGAAGTGGGAGGAGCAGAAGTGCTCGAGCTGAAGATGGAAGGAGTGCTAAATGCTTGACAGCAGTGGCCAGGAGACGAATCGAGTGGCTGCCAAGCGGAAAGTGCCGAAAATTGCATTTGCATATGCTTTGCCCTATGACAAATTTACACCTTGCATAGAACGAGGTAGACAGAGTCAGGGAGAGAGAGAGAGAGAGTGAGTGAGAGGGGGGAAGAGGGTGGAGAGGGAGCGACAGTGTGTGTGTGAGTGTGACTGTGACAGAGAGAGAGAAAGAATGCTTTACACAGGTGTGACAGAGCTGGGTCGCTTGACAAATAACTGGCACTCGACTGCAGCCAGAGTGTGGCAAAGAAACCCAAAGGACGACAGGACAGTAACTGAGAAGCGACTCTAAGTGGCAGCTCGACTAGCAAATACCCTATCTGAATGGGAAGCGTTTACAAATTCGAGCTGACGAAACTGAGTTGATATAACTTTTATTTCAATTATGTTATTACGTCTATTGGACTGAATAAACCCTGTAAAGGAATTTGAAAAAATATTTGTACACACTGGCAGAGCCCGAAAGGCGATATATAGCGAACTGGTGAGATTCTAGACGAAAAAATACATATTGAAATAGCAATATATCTGCCCCTAGCCCCTCTAACCATTCAAAATACCCTTCAAGCGATTATCATTTGGGTACAGGGTATTCCAAGCAAACAAGCTGGGGAGGTATAGGGACAGGTTTATATAAAACGATGTCAGCCAAAGGATTTCCCAACAGATGCATCAGCTGCAGTTGCTCAGGATCGATCACAGTCAGGCCGATAGGGCGAGAGGGGGGTGACATGAAGAGCTTAAGCTTTTACATTGAAAAGGGGTAAACACATACTTGGCACACTTTTTAATGCTAGTGATAGACTGATGAAGCTGTCTCTTTCGCACTCAATGAACAGCATCTTGACTGATGTCCAATTTCTGCTCCACTCAAGTGTTGATTGATGAGACAAGAGCTAGCTGTTGGTTAACCTAAGAATCAGCTTATGATGTGAGGGCTGCTCATGCATCGGGTGACTGGAAGGAAGACAGTTTTTTCTTATACGGAATGCATCTATCTCTGTCTCACTCCAAAGCAACGGCAAAGAATTAGCTAAAGGAGCTTACTATTAACAGAACTGGAAGTGTGAAACTAAGAGAGAGAGAAGGAGACAGCTATGTGTCGAATCAAGAGGGCGAGAGAGACAGTTGTAGTTTGTATAAGCTAAGAGCGAAAGAGACAGTCAACTATAACTAGTTACCAGCTAATGTACAACATTTAGACATGTTCAGGCAGGCAATATCAACAGTACAACATCGACAACATCAACATCAACAACATCAACAACAACATCGACCATATCAACCCTTCAATCAATCGAGCATTCAGTACTACGACAAGGACGCAGACATACAGAATGAAGGAGGAAGAGGAAGAGAGACAGAGACAACAAAGATATTCATAGAATAAATATAGCTCTAAAGATGCACACTAAATTCACAGAAAGAGTCGCGGAACTAGCTAATCAGCTAAGCGTGTGAGCTAGTTCAAATGAACTTAGTTATCTGAAATATATGTTTATAAAAACTTAGTATTTTTGTTTATATCAGCTAGAACTAGCTCAGTAAAAAGTTAAGTCAAATGACTAAAAAATTCAAAGTGAACTAGTTCATAATATCTAAATCAAATTGAATTTAGAAATTTGTACGTTACACTAGATTTGATAGAAATACTTAGTACAAATGACCGTTCATGTGAACTAGTTCCAGTTCTTAAGAACTGCTTCTTAAACCACAATGAATTCACCACTGCAGTGCACTGATAATAATATAATATATAATAATATATAATAATAGGTAATAATTGATTAAAGAGTTACTCTATATTTGCGAAAGAACTAGTTCACTAGGGTGAACAACTCCTGCTGTGAGCAAGTGTGTATCCTTCGCTAGTCTTATGACATGGTGCGAGTAAAAGAGACGACAACAGGCAAGACAAGACAAGCAGTTGAGCGGCTTAACAGCTGTTAAGTAACAGGTGTTAGCTAACAGCTGCCCAAGCTGCTCACAGTTGAACTTACATGTCGCTCTTCGGTGACAACAATTAGATGATTATCTTTGAGCGTCATCTTTGTGACGGAACCGCTGAACGTGAAGGCGGCGCCAGAGATTGTGGGCGTGGCAGCGCCCGTAGCTGGGGGCGTCAGAATATCGGGGCTCGTCTCGAATTGAAACTCAATGCACTGCACCCCGCTGGCCAGCGCCAGCGACATGGAACGAATGAGCGATGCATTCGGATTGAGATTCAGTTCCGGACTCGAGTTTCGATTTGGCATCGCATTTGCGGCAGCTGCCTGTTGACTGCTCGGCTGCGATGTCGGCGGCGAGAAGGAGGCGACCGACGAGGACGACGACGACGACGACGACTGCAAAGTAACAGAGTGCACAGGGCTTTTACAATATTTCTTTCTTTCAGTGTACAAACACACACACTCGCACACACACTCGCACAATGTAGCTGAACAGAATGGAGAAGCCAAACTTGAATTAGTTTTGCGAGTTGCCGCAACTATTTGAATGCATTTCAATTACGTTGTGAAAATGTTCACAAATTTACGCAACATTTTTGCCATTGTTTAAAGGTATTTTTTTCTCTGAATGAGCGGTGGGCGTGGTGCTGCCATGCAGCCAAAAGTTGCCAACATTTGCCTCCGAATTTCAAATGGGGGAAGTTTTTCATCGCGCAGCTTCGTTCATCAAGCACTTTGTCATCTTTTCGCTGTTGCGCCTTCATCATCACCATCATCATCATTGTGAACTATAGCTTGTTAAGCTGCTTCATCATCATCATCATCATCATCATCATCATCATCAACTGCAGCTAGTTGGGCACTTACCTCATGCTTAGAGTCCTGGCCGTGGCCCTGCTCGCTGTCATCGCCAGCGGCACTTGAATTCGCATTCTTGTTCAGCAAATAACTGTGAAAGAAGAAAAGACAATAAACACACAGAACACGCACAAGAGATAGAGAGATAGAGAGAGAAAGAGAGGGAGAGAGAGAGAGAGAGAGAGTGAGAGAGAGAAAGTTAATATGAGTTAGATATAAAGATAAGTATGTAAAATGCTGTGCATATAGAATGTGCAGTTTGGGCTGCACAGCAAAATTTGTTGCCTATTTGTGGGGTAATCATAAGTGTTTGCATCAGTGCTGCCAATTTGCTTAAAGAGCGAGACAGAAAGTGCAGCCCAGCTGTTTAGAAAAAGCATGAAATATCATATATCGCCCAATTTGATGTGTTGCTTAGGCATAATATTCGATTATTCGATTAACAGTGCTGCCCATGTATTAAAAAATCCCAACTATAAATAAGCTCTAAAATTTCAATAGCAGAGAGAGAGAGGGAGAGAGGGGGAAAGAGAAGGGTTCTTTAAATTTACATAAAGTTGAAAATAGTAGGGCCAGCCAAACTCCCACATAACAGTGCTGCCCATTGAAGGTTATAAAACTCTGAGCAGAGTATAACTCTATTATCTCTTCTTGATTCCCACAGCAGCTCTAGCAGATGATGCGTATATCGTGGCCTTTTATAAAGTAAACGCAAAGCTGTTGCTGACGCACTTGAGCCATAAAGTGCTGCCCATCCACCATGAAACATTTACAAGAGAACGCATGAAGAAACACGTAGCAAAGATTAATACTCAAAAACCCGCCACTCAGGAAACCTTTCAAGCGAGATTACCATATGCATAAAAAACAAAATCACAATCTGCACAGTTTAACAAAAAAAGTAAGTAACGCCCATTAGTTGTAAAAAAAAAAAAAAAAACAACTCCGATGCAGCACTCAACACGAGCTGCTGGCGCTAAGGAATGTGTAAGGATTTTTGTAAATCGATTGTATGCAAACTGTATGAAGCTTCCTAATTTACAACAGTTTATTGGTATCCGCAACAACCACGACAGCTATGACAACCCACTTAAGTGCTGCCCATCTGGCCGAGAAGTGCTGACAGCACTCACAGGGCTTAGTACAAGTAGAAGACGCAGGCAGCAAGATAAACGAGCTTACGACTCACTCTTCAGAGCAAAGTGCTTTGCAAAATGCATGAAAAACAAGCGCAGCTAAAGGTGTGTTGCATATGAGTGATAGATATTGTTGTTTACATTCCTAATCTGCGTGCCCCGACCCTCTCTCCCGTAGCCCCCATTTCAGCCACCCTGCGGTCCTGCGTCCCTCTCAGGCGTTCTTCAACCCTTGGCATACTTGAAAGACCTTCGCATTTTACTCTCGTTTTTAATGCGTTTTTTTTTTTTCGTTTTCGTTTTTCGTCTTATTTTTCCTGGCAAACATTTGTACAAATTGTCGCGCACAACGCACGCACACTCACGCACGCACACGCACACACACGCACAACTAATTTCTCGTCTCGACAGTTTATTGTGCAATTTCCTTTTTCAACCAAACACATGAGTGCTTCAGCTCCCTTGCCTCGGTGTGTGACCACCGTTAGCAGCTTGGAAAAAGGATGAATGCTTCAGTTGCCTATGCTCGACTAGCGCATACCCTACCCAGTACTGTGTGTCAACGCTTTTACTGAGAGAATGCGATGATTTGGTTCTCTAGCTCTAAGAGTTCTTGAGTTGGGGAGTAAGACAGAGAGTGAGAGAGCGAGAGATAGATAGAAGGTAAGAGATATCGATATCAAGCCTGTCTTCAAATATGCACCTTTAGATTTCCGTTAAGTACTTCAACTCTTTTACTGAGCGAAAGATATGAACTAAACCTAAATTCCCTAGCTCTAAGAGTTTTTGACTTGGGGTATAAGAGAGAGAGAGGGAGAAGGATAGGTTGAGAGTAAGAGATATCGAAAACAAACTGTTCTTCAAATGAGCACCTTTCGATTTCTGTCAAGTGCTTCAACTCTTTTACTGAGAAAATGAGATGAACTAAATCTGAATTCCCTACCTAGCTCTAAGAGTTCTTGAGTTGGGGTATAAGAGAGAGAGAGAGAGTGAGAGAGAGAGAGAGAGAGAGAGATAGGTAGAGAGTAAGAAATATCGATAACAAACTGTTCATCAAGTGATACAACTCCTTTGATGGAAGAACGAGATGAACTAAATCTTAATTCTTTAGCTCTAAAAGTTCTTGAGTTGAGGTATTAGACAGAGAGAGAGAGAGACAGAGAGAGTGTGCGATATATCGATAACAAACTCTTGTGCAGATATGCACCTTTAGATTTTCTTCAAGTACTTCAACTTTTTTACTGGGAGAATGAAGTGGACGTTTAGCTATAATTCAAATCAAAAGTCTTTGGCTCTAAGAGCTTGTGGGCAAGAGATATGTAGAGATTCGGAAAGATATCGATAACAAATTGTGGTTCAGATATGCATGCAACATTTCAGCTGCGAGATTGATCCATGCACAGCTTTCATGTGCCTAATCAAGCCCGTATGGGGTGGTATACCCTGTCGCCGCAGTCATATTCCGTGTGTTGCGGGTAAAGAGGAGAAGCAGAAAAAAAGGCAGGCACAAATTTATTTCCGTTGCGCATTTGTCGACTTTCATCTCGTGTGGCAGCTTTTTGTGGCAACTCGCAACTGGCAACTGGTTTGCGGTTGCCATTTTGACGTTTTATGCGTTTGCTTTGGGGCCTGCAACAAGGCGAGAGGCGCCGCTGCCTCCATCGCCGTCGCCGTCACCGTCACCGTCACCGTCGCCTTGTTAGCTTCAATGCCACTTGCCATCTTCATCATCTTCACTTGTCTCCCTTTCTCACTACCCCTCTCTCTCTCTCTCAGTCTATGCTTGTTGTGTGGGGAGGGGGCAACTTCCGCTTCCGGCGCTGTCTGTCGACGCCCGCCGTTGATTTGTGGCGCCTTTAGATTTTCGGGGCAGCTTTCATCTTGACGCCCCGCCCATGCCGCCCCCCTTCAGCATCTCATTTCTGCCTCTGCCTCGGCTTCTGTTTCTCCTGCCAGCCGCCAGCCGCCAGCCGCCACGCATGGCCTTCATTTTGTTTGGCATTTAGTGCCCGCATATAAAAAGCAACGGCAACAAATTCCCATTTACGTGGCATGCTCGAGATTTATGTGTATCGCAGGAGCCTGTGCGCGGGCAGTGGCAGTGGCTGGGGCAGGGGCAGAGGCAGCGACTGGGTCTCGCCTGAAAGGATGTTGCGTGCTGACATTGCGTCACACCCAAGTTCTGGCTAAGTCACAGATTTGCTGCGAGAAATAAAATGCCAGAATGAAGCTGATAAATGCGATTTGCCACGCCCACCCAAGCCAAGTCAACTCCCATGTGTATTATGCTTATTCCTAAGCAGAGCATGCAAGCCCACGTGTGTGTGCATGTGACATGCTGCTGCTGCTGCTACTCCTGCTGCTGGTGTTACTGCTCCTGCTCCTGCTGCTCCTGCTACTCCTGCTGCTGCTTCAGGTAGCCCTTTTGGCACGTTGAAAGCAACTGCAGCTGGCTTGCTCTCCGTGCCCCGTCCCCCGTCCCCCGTCCCCTCCTTGCCTGTTTCTTGTGTAATAAACAGGGCGTCGGATTAGTCGGTAGTTTCGTCCTGCTTTAGGTTGCCTTTGCCGCGCGTGCTTATTGCAGCAATTGCCACCATTTGGCTTTCAATATTCCCCCGCCCCCTGCTTACCACCTCATGCCACCTTCTCTACCCCTTCTGTCTGCTGCTTTCAGCTTCATTGAGCAATCGCAATTATTTTCGAGTTTCATGCACATTGCAGCCGAGCAATGCCTGAGCAATCCGAGGGATCCCTCGAAAAGCTGACATTGACTTACGAGCTCCTATGTGTGGCTTCAGCTGGAGTTAAGCTTCGGCTCGCTCATGCACAGCATATAGAATCGTTACTTACCGCACGGCGCAATACATGGAGGTCAGCAGTCCGGCGGGCAGCACGACTATGATGAGACCCATCGAAACGGCAAAGAGATTCAGGAAGCCTAGAAAGAAGGAGAGGACAGAGGACAGAGGTTAGTTGACAGTTTCCAGCTGCTTCATCCGATTCAGCTCACCATCGTAGTTGGCCAGCGGATCCTCGGAGAGGGCTGTGGCATTGCCCATGCGCTCGCCATGCAGCAGCGGCGCCATGGCAGAGGCCGCGCCCGACTTTGTGCCCTTGACGCTCTCATTGTGCAACTGGAGCGTGGCATTGAGCAGCTCCGCCATGGGCAGCTCCTCGCGATGCAAGTGACTGAAGCCATGATTGATCGACTGATGGCTGAGTGCGTGCTGCGCCTGCTCTGCGTCCTGCTGCTGCAGCCGATGCGTGGGACTCTCGAAGGGATAGGAGCCCTCGACGCCGTCGAAGCCGCCGCCAGCACCGTCATCGATCAGATCGCCGCCATACTGAATGGAGCTCTCAATGACATCCGGATCGCTGGACAGACCCAGCCCGTTGCTCTCGATGTCGTTCTCATAGATGCTGCGCCCCTGGCCGATCAGCTCGCCCGGCATATAGTCGATCTCCTTGAGCTCGATCTGCGGCGGCAGCTCCCCAATAACGGGCACTCCGATCGCCAGGTCGGGCAACACCGCTGGCTGTATGATTATGTCCGGTTGCTGGGAGCTGGCGGCAACCTGTGGCGGCACCGACTGCTGCTCCACCTCAATCACCGACTCACCCACATAGGTCACGTCCAGCGGCGGTGCGCCATCCGAGCTGGAGCTGGGACTGCGCAGAATCTTTAGCGCGTCGGCCGTGTGATGCTGCGGCGAGAGTATAATGTCCTCCTCATAGCGGGCTGTGACTGCTGAGCTGCGCTGCGACTGCGACTGCGACTGCGACTGCGACTGCGACGGATCCTGCCTGTAGCTGGCCGGAAAGAACTGATTCTCGAACTGTAGCTTACGCTGCTGCTGCTCGCTGCTGGAGCTGGCCGTGGGCAGGGACTCGCCCACCTTGACCTCCGTATTCGATATATAGAAGATGGTGTCCGAGTCCCGATCGATGCTCGGCTTGCGTGGCAGCGGCGGCGGCGGCGGCGGTGGCGGTGGCCTCGGCAGGCCAGCCCGATCGCCGCCCTTCGTATCGGCCATGAACAGCTCGTCGGCAGCATCCTGCGGCGGACGCACAGCCGGCGGTGGTGCGTCCGAGTGGTACGGATAGCTGAACATCGAACTGAGATTCAAGTGCTCCGCGCTGGCGCTGGATATGTTCTCGGTGCTGTTGTCGATGATCTCCACGACGAGTATCTCATCGTTGGGCTTGCTGGCCTTCGCATCGCCGACCGCCGGCTGGCGATAGGAGAACTCCAGATCCTCGCTCTCGTTGCCAAAGGCCTCCGACACATTGATGTGGATCTCGATGGCAGCTGGCTCGGGTTTGCCCACGCCGCCGCCCGGGACAGCCTGGCCCATGCCGGCGGCCGGCTGGGTGGAGACATCGGCGCGATCGATTACGTATTGGGTGAAGCGCTCCTGGGCCATGGGCGAGCTGGGTGGCTTGGTGGTGCCCACCGCTGGCTCCATCGGCTTCGGGTAGTAGCCCTGCGTGTCGCGGAAATTCGTGGAGGCCACTATCGAGTCGACGGTCGAGTCGTAGACCTCGATTTGTATGTCCGATATTTTGGATTCGGTGCGCGGTGGTGCCGCTAGCACCGCTGACCCGGACACCGTTATCTCAGCCGCTGCCATGGGCAGACGGGTGGTGCTGCTCTGCGGCTCCGGCACCTGAAAGACGGTTGTTGACAGTACTGACTGCGTGTGTGGTGCAGCCGGCAGGGTGGTGCTGCTGCTGGTGGTGGTGCTGCTGGTGGTGGTTGCCGGTCGCTGCGAGCTGCTCTCAATGTTCGATTCGAGCAGAGCTGTGGGCGCTAAAATCTCCACGATGCGTCCCTCCCGCAGCTGCTGCTCGATGGTGTCGTCATGCGGTGGTCGCTGTGCCACCTCCTGGTGGTCGGGCGCCAGTGGTTTCTTCAGTGGATGAGCCACACTAAACGTTTTCTCGCCCATAAAAATGGGTCCCAAATAGCCATTCGGCACGGGCAACAGCTCGGGCTCTGTGCTGCTATCTGGAGTGGTGCTGGTGGTGCTGGTGGTGCTGGTAGTGCTGGTGGTGCTGGTCGCGCTAGTTGTATCTATTTCCATTTTGTTGGTGGTTGTTGCTGCTGTGGCAAAGTGTTGCTGCTGCAGCTGCTTCTTCTTGGTCAGCTTGAGTCCATCGTGTCCACTGCCAATCGGTGGTGCTGCTGTCACTTCCAAGTCCAGCAGCCGCACCACCGCATCCACCGAGTGTGTCAGCTGGTCAGTTGTTGTTGTTGTTGTTGGCGCTGCGGTGGTTATTGACTGGCTACTTGCATTAGCAACTGTTGCTGCTGTTGCTGTTGCTGCTGTTGCTGCTGCTGCTGTTGTTGCTGTGGTGTTGCTGCTGTGCTGACGCTGCTGTTGCTCATGCTTTGTAGTCGCTGTCAGTGTGGGCGTGTCGCCCGCAACACCAAACTTCAAACGCTGTGTGGCTGTTGCACTTGCTGTGGCGGCAACTGTTGCTGCTTGCGCCTGGCCATTGCCGCTGTCGCCGACCAGCAGCAATATTAACCACAGGGCGATGGCTGCCTGGCCACGCCCATTACAGCTACGTGCAGCAACTGCCATGTTGCGGTTGCTGCTCCTGTTGCTGCTGCTGTTGCTGTTGCTGTTGTTGGCTTTGCTGCTGCTGCTGCTGCTGTTGCTGTTATTTTGATTATGCTTTGTGCTTGGCTCGTGCTTTCTTGTTTTCTTATGTAAATTTAGTTTTGATTTTGCTGCAACTGTTGCTGCTGTTGCTGTTGCTGTTGCTGTTGCCTTTGGCACTTAATTTTCTCCTTTACTGTTGCTGCTGCTGTTGCTGTTGCTGTTGCTGTTGGCACTTGGCATTGTCGTGTTGCACTTCAGGCTGCTCGGCATCTTCGTCTTCATCTTCATCAACATCTTCAGCAGTCCGCGCAGCCGTCGCAGCTGTCGCCGCTTTCATTCATTCGCTCAATATGCTGTTGCAGTTGCTCTTGCTTGAGTGGTTGCTGTGGCACTTATTGCTGCTGCTGCTGTTGTTGTTGTTGTTGTTGTTGTTATTGTTGCTGCTACTATTGCTGCTGCGGCCATTTTCTGCGGCTACAGCGCCGCGGCTTTTCTTTGGACCCGGCTACAACTGCTGCTGTTGCTGCTGCTGCTGCGGTTGCTGCTGTTGCTGCTGTTGCTGCTGTTGCTGCTGTTGCCGGCGGGCGTCGTTCTCTTTGTTGGCACACAAATTTCAAGATACAAATAAAATATATATATATATGTGCATATATATTTATATATACATATATCTGTGTGTGTGTGTGTGTGTATAGAAGGAAATAAAGGCATAAAATAAAAAATGGTCTGCTGCTTTTAGCACTTAACGCGGCGCGTTTCGCCTGCTGCTTCGTGTTTTCCTTTCTCCTTTTTTTCCTATTTTTATTTGCTTTTGCTTTGCTTTCGTCTCTCTTTTTTTTTTGCTATTTTTTATTTTATTTTATTTTATTTTCTCTGTTCTCGCCTTTGCTGCGCGCCTCGAATGAGTTCTGCTTGAGTGGAAATGAAATTTAAAATAACGAAATATGCTGCAACAACAAGAGACTTGCTGCTGTTGTTGCTGCTGCTGCTGTTGCTGTTGCTGTTGTTGCTGCTGCTGCTGCAGTTGCTGGCAATGCAATAAAAAGTAATGCAACGACGCGCCAAAGTATGCTATGAAAAGAAGCAAAAGCAGATGAAGACGAAGCAAAGTCGAGTGTGGAGCACAAAGCGAAGTTAAAATAACGACCATAAATAAAGCCCGTAAATCGAGTGGCAAGCTCCACAAAACCTTTTCGCTCGCAATTCGCCAAGTTTCATATATACATCATCTATATGTGATGTATGTATTTCTGATGTAGCTAGTCTCAAAATATCATTAATCTGCACTCGATGTAGTGAAGCTTATCTAAATTCTTGTTTGGATTTGCTAAAACTCTAGGTTAACCTTTGCATTTCTTGCTAAAATCTATCTTATGGTATTACTCTAGCTGGAATCTATTAAAAACTGCGCTTGTCGTCTAGCTCAACTCGGACTAGACTCTACTCTGTCTGTATTTCATGATGTTCCCCAAATACTTTAAGTAGATAAGCTCTTTCTTTTCTATAGACTTTGTTTGAAAGCTTTTTAGTTTTTCTTATCGAATGGTATATTTTCTATAATTTATTTTTATTATTATTATATATAAATATATAAATATATAATTATATTTAATATATATATTTAATTTTTTTGTAATTTATTTATTTATTTTTATTTATTATTATTATTATTATTATTATTTTTTTTCATTTAACTAAATTCATTTCTAGCATTATTTCCTCTTTCACTCCTCGTCATCCAACTTTTATGTTTCAAACTTTGCCCCTGGCTAACGTAATTCGGAACGCCCCCTATAAAATGAGACTTGGACCGTTTAAGACCTAAATGGACCCTAAATACCGAAATGCCCATTCAGATTTTTATGTTTTAGTCGCGCAACTGCGACAATTCTCGATGGCAACGAACGAGTGCACTAAACGCAACTTGAGGATTTCTGATTGAAAGCCCATGAAGAAATGCGAGCGAAAATTCAGATTAGTTGCCATAGCAATTATGCGAAACTCTGTTTGCTTTCAAGCGGTCTTTTGATGCTGCTCCTGCCGAAGGAGAGACAAGGCCGATGGGCGGGCAAGGGTTGGTTGGCTCTTAATAAAATCAAAATCATTTACGGCACATTTCTATGAATTGAAGAATAGCCAAAGTGTGGCCAAAGGAACGAGAGTCTAGACAGTCGCCCAGCAGTCTTTAAGGCACAACAGGAAAATCCAATTTAAAGAACTTTCATCAAAGTAGAAGAAGAAAAACTAAATAAAATAGAATCAAATAAATTTGCAGCCTTGTCAAAATGTAAAGGTGAAGCCTAGAGTCAAGTGGATCCCAGTGTTGACATTAAAGAGCTGATGAGAACTTTTGATTTACGTGTGCCGTTAGGCAGGAGACAATCATTTTGAATGGGCCAGCAAGGGAAATTCACATTTTCACAGTTTCAGGCCGCAACAAGAAAAATAAACGAAAGATGAAATGCGAGATGCTTCGAGTGTGTGAAGTTATTTTATTTAGACCACAGATAGAGAGAAAGAGAGAGAGAAAGAGGGGAGAGCGAGAGAGAGAGAGAGAGCGCGCGTGTGGGAGCGAGAAATTGAAAATGAAAACAAAATATGCCATAGAAATACGAATTTCCCAATTTTCTCGTTTTGTGTGGGGCAAGTGGAGCGAGGGAACGTTTTTATTGCTTTTTGTCTTTGGTTGTAAACCCGAAAATGCGATGCAAATTAAATATAAAGCCTGCCAAATGATTCGATTTCGAGCCTCAACCCTTGGCCCCGGCCATCAGAGGAAACCTCAAGCAAAAGGTTGCGGTTGGCTCTTCGCCCCTGAACCCAAAGGGCCGCCCCAGCGGCACGCAGGATGCCGAGAGTCCTGGCAAATGGCTATGCACTTTGTCCATTTACAAAACCGCAAAATCAACTGCAAAGCAACAGCAACAACAACAGCAACAACAACAACAATAGCAATAGCAAATGTTCTTTATGTTTATTTGATAAGATGAAGGTGAAGATGAAATGTGTTTTACTTACCGGCAAAAGATGTTGCTGCTGCTCTGCTGCTGGTGATGCTATTCGCCCTCTTCTTCTTCTTCGTCGACTGCCTCTTCTATTTTCGTTTTGGGCCCCGCAAGGTAATCCAAGGGTCCTTGCGCAGCCTTTGCGTGCCAATCACAATCACACACTCAGTTCACAATAGTTTTGCTTAGCACTGGAACAAAAATAAGTAATTGCTGGTGTGAAAACTGGCTCAGAGCTGGCTTTTGGCCAGCTGCAACACGCGACACACCCGGCGGGCAACACAAGCACGCGCAACGCCAACAATTGCTGTTGCAGCTGCAGCAGCAGCAGCAGCAGCAGCAGCCACAGCAACAACAAAAACGCACGCGCGAATCAAACAAATTTGTATTTTCAAAAAATACTACATATAAAAGTTAAAAAAAAAAAAAAAAAAATATTTCTTTACAAAACTTTTTGAAATATTTCAAAAATTGTTTTGAAATTTCTTTTCAGCCCAAACTTTCTAAATATGAAACATATAATATTTTAATATTTTTTAATTTTTATCTATTTTATATTATGTTCGTTTCAATTAAAATGCATTGAATTTCATTTTCAAATTTTTCTTAAATATTTCAAAGTACTAGTTGAATATTTTTAGAAACACTTGAATTTTTAGGAATTTCATACACAATGTTTATTTGTTATTTGAAAATTAGCTGCATTTCAAAAATTAATTTTTAGCATTTTTTTACAAATACCCTTTCTTTTCGGCTCTTTCAATATTTATTAAATTTATTTATTTTAATTTTTTAAATTAAAGTTATTAAACTAATTAAAAAAATTTATTTTATGTACGTTAAATATTTCAAAAAGCTTTCCATTATTTACTTTTGCAGCTTCATCTTGTTTGCTTAACAAAAATAATTAAATAAATAAATAAATGAATGGAGCGGAACGGGTTGAGGTGTTAGGTTAGGTAAGTGCGGGCTGGTGGTGCTGTGGTTGAGGAGTTTTATCTCACGGCTGTTGTTGTTGTTGATTTTCTTTTTCTGTTTTTTTTTTTTTTATTTTTTTTTTTTTTGCTAGTATGATTCGTTGGCGCTTGGCTTATCCGTTGGCGTTGCCGCTGCTGCGTCCTTTAGCTCCGAAAACCGCACGCAAACTGCGCAAATCGCATCGCATCCTTTGGTCTAAAAGGACGACTGGCCGAGCGATTCGCCGCCTTCGCCGATTCACAGCTGTTGACGGCGACGTTCGACGTCGACAGCGAAGCAACGTTCGGCAGCTGCGCACACGCTGCCTGGTTGCTGTCTCCGCTAGGCGCAGTGTTACCAGACTCTCTAGACTCTGCCAGAATTAACACTTGCCTGCAATTAATAAAGCAATTCCTCATAAATACTTGAACTCATTCTGAATTTTATTTGTATTTGATTTTTCTATACTTCCGTTTGTTTATTTTATATATAAAGTCTTTTCAATTTGCCTGCTCGTTTGAAATTCTGAACAGTCTGGCAACGCTCAGCGCATTAGCTTGTGCACAAATCAATGCACTTCCAGTCTACACACATTAAGTTTCTTGTAGAGTTTCGTAAGCAGTTGAGGTGGGGAAAAGCTCACAGAGTTTTCAACCGAGTTCCGCTTGCTTTTAAGCTGAACGCAAAGCTCAAGCAAAGCTGTAAAATCTGTGAAAGCTCTGTTTTATAAAGCATCAAGCCTAAAAGACGACAAAGCCGAAAGTTTTGCTAGACATTTCATTTGCAGGCATTGCACTTCGACAAATTTGTTCATTTAGGGAAATCATTTCAGCAGATCAGATTAAAACTAGTTCACCTGTAATTTGCATATTGTTCTAGTTATATAATGTATGTATATCTATTATTTATATATTTAATTCTTCTATGTATTCTCAACTGGTAATCTGAAACCCACTTTTAAACTTCCTTCTTTTCTTGTCCGCTCTTCTTCCTTTCTGTGTTTCTTATCTTTACACCTCGATCTCTGCCTCTCTCGATTTCTCGCTCTCTCTCATTTTGACTCCTTGTCATTCTCATACCCTCACTCTCTCTCTCTCTCTTTCTTCATTTAGATATATTGTTCAAACTCTCTCTCTCTCTCTCTCTCTCTCTCTCTATCAACCATTATCGCTCACCCAATCTCTCTCTCTCTCTGCCTCTCATTTACTTTCATTCTCTCTCTCTCTTTCTCTATGTCTCTCTCATTACGTATTCTCATACACTCAGACTATTTATGCATCTCTCTTTCTCTCTCTCTCTCTCTCACTCTTAGACTCTCTCTCTCTCTATGTCTCTCTCAATACATATGTAAGCATTAATTTCTCTCTCCATCTCTTTATTTTGTCATACACCCAATCGCACTCTCTCTCACTCTCTTTCTATCTCTCCGTCTCTCAATATATCGCTTTTTCATACACTCATACACGCTATCTCGCTCTCTCTCTCTCTCTCTCTCTCTCACTCTCTCTCTCTCTCTCTCTCTTGTCTCTTTCTACCTTTTAACATTCCCTTGGTAATCATCATATTTCTGTCATACAACATCATTCCACAGTCGAATGGAATCTATTTATATTGGCGAAATTCCGCAATGATTCCCGTTGTCTCTTCGCCTGTTCGCCTGTTGCTTCTACCTGTTACAGGCATGCCGATGTCACTCTCTCTCTCTCTCTCTCTCTCTCTCTCTCTCTTCTAGTCTGTGTAGCTGTCATTTATTCTGCCTTTGATCCGCATGATCCATTTGATAATGCAGCCCGCACGATAATTCCCATAAATAATTCGCGCTTGGATTATGTAAACCTCTTTCGGGCCGCTCTTTTGCGCCACACTGAATGTGGTTGTTGTTGCTTGTTGCTTGTTGTTGTTGTTGTTGTTGGCTACGCTGTGGAATTCGAGGCAGCCGCCAGAGGCGACACTCCCAACACGAGCAACATCGACATCAACTGTCGACCGCCGGTGGCAACGTCTCCATTCTCCAGAAACCGCACCACCGATTTCTTCTGCTAATGCCTCCTCTTCTTCTTCTTCATGTCTGTCAACTATTGTCTGTCCCTGTGTGTGTGAGTGTGTGTGTGTGTTTGTGCACTGTGGTGGTTGACAGCCTTTGCCTCAGCAATTTGGCAAATACTTGGCAACGCATTTGCACCACCTGCGCACCACCTCCGTCCGCACCACCTGCGCAGAGTGCGCATGTGGCTTAATTGACTTTTTACACACACACAATATCATAATGGAGAATGACCTCAAAGCAATTCCATTGGATTCACTTTATATCATTTCATATTTTTTATTATTTTGATTTTTTTTTTTTTTTTTTTTTTTTTTTTTTTTGGCGCAACGCTTTCTTCTGCAGCTGCCGTTAGACCCGGTCGAGGCCGCTCGCATTTATGGAGCGTAATGGCCAGTAATCGGTGAAGCCGTTAAAATGCCAGACGAACACCCCCACACATGCAAAGCAAAGTTTGAAGAAAACTCTTAAATTCCGTTGAAGCCAGTTGAAGAAAAGTGCTAAGACTCGGCTCAAAGCAGAAGTCTTAGGCTGTGTCTAAAGCCAAAGCAAGGGAATACTTTATAAGGAAAAGCAGGAATACACAGGAGAAAAAAATTATTAAGCAATGCAATACAGAGAGAGAGAGAGAGAGCGAGAGAGAGAGAGAGAGGGAGAGATAGAGAGGCGCAGAGAGAGTCTGAGAGGAATAAAACAGCTAGAGAAATATTTTATTAAGAAAAGCTTAGACTAATGCCAAATTAGAAGTAGAGCCTCACACAGTAAATAGAGGCAGGCGCTAAGGCCAGAAACTAAGAGCGAAGATCAAGGTAAAGTTGAAGGCAGAAGCTAAGGCGGAGACTCTCTAGAGTATATAAAAAGGAGTTCGAGCTAAGAGCTAATGACAGAGACTAAGGCGGAGACTCTCTAGAATCTCTAGAGCAGAACTCAGAGAGACTTAATTAAGCCAAGCCGAGAGACTGAAGTGGAAGCTGAACAGGAATCAGCTGAGTCTGAGGTATAGGTAAAGGTAGAGCTAAGAGCTAATGACGAAGACTAAGGCGGAGACTGTCTAGAACCTCTAGAGAAATCAAAGAGCTTAAGGTAAAGCTAAGAACTAATAACAGAGATTAATGTGGAAATTCTAGAGTCTCTAGAGCAGAACTCAGAGAGACTGAATCAAGCCAAGCCAAGATGCTAAAGTGGCGCTGAACAGGAATCAGCTGAGTCTGAGGTATAGGTAAAGGTAGAGTGAGAAGCTAATGAGAGAGCAAAAATCAAAGAGTTTAAGGTAAAGGTAAAGGTAGAGTTAAGAGCTAATGAAAGAGGCTAAGGTGGAGATTCTAGAGTCTCTAGAGCAAAACTCAGAGAGACTGAATTAGGCCAAGTCGAGAGACTGAAGTGGAAGCTGAACAGGAGTCAGCTCAGTCTGAGGTATAGGTAGAGGCAGAGTGAGAAGCTAATGACAGAGACTGATTCCGAAAGCCTAGAGGCTCAAAATTAGAACAGAATCTGAGGCTAAGGCTGAGCTGGAAGCAAATGCGTATTATAAGACTGAGTCTGTGATGGAGGCAAACTTCAAAATTAATTGCTTAGCTAAGGCAAACAGTGAGGCGGTGCTCAAGCCTCGCGGCTGAAGCAAAGACCAGAGGCTGGCGCTGTAGCTGAAGCTGAGGCTGGGGCTGAGACTGGGGCTGACACTAAGACCAAACGCCAGTGGCAGAGCCATTGACAACTGAACAGCTGACACAGAGACTTGGGCTAGCTGCTCTCATTGTATTGCGCATAGCCAAAGGCGTCATCGATCTCACACCGCTGCAGCCGGTGAGCACCGCTGAGCCACCGCACTTTGCTGCGTAACGGCTCATTTTAATGTGCGCCACACACTTGACGCACAGCTTGGCTGAACTCCAGCTCCAACTGCAGCTGCAGCTCTGCCTGCTGCGCCCCCTCCCGTTCACTCTTTGGATATTTTCCACGCTTTGGCATGCATTGCTGAGAGGAGCCAATTGGCTGGGGCGACACGTTGACAACTGGCGTCGATTTATGCGCCATGCTTTGCCATGAGTTTTCCCGCTGCGCGTGCCTGCCATGCCAAATGCTGTAAATTCTCTCTTCATTTGCCATTTGCCCGATCGCCGATCGCCGATCGACGATCGCCAATCGCCGTTTGCCGCTTGCCAATCGAAACCGAAACGGTAAACGTGGCCCGCAGTCGACGGGGCCAGTCAAAGTCCAGCTGGATGCCGTTGTCAAGGCTCATCCATCAGCATTTGCCTGGGCCATGTGCACAAGAGCCGTAACTTCATAGCTCCAAGCTCAATGCTAAGCCAGTGCTGAGGCCCCAAACGCAGCCCAGTTGACCAATCATCCAGTCAAGCAGCTCGACTGGGTCAAGCAACTGCAACTGACAAAGCGACGGCTGCTGCAGCCAGTTCCAATTGGAGTCTAACTAGACGCAGCGGCAGCTGAAGCCTTTAAGAATATCAAATTTATATAGATCAAAGTAACTCTCACAGATCGTAAAAAGTATTCCAGTACAGCATTTGGGAAAGTCGAAATGGGGAAATGAGAGATGAATAATAAGAAGAGCAAATAGTTGCACAGCTGTTTTTCTCTAGGTATGTCACTGCCCCAACTCGAACTATGAGTTCCATAGATAAAAGACAAGATCATCTTTCCATTCTTGATTTGACTTTGACAAGCGCTGCCCCTATATGCCCTATATAGTCATAAAATATTCTGCAAAAATTTGTGATTTTCATTTTCTCCCATCTCTTTCCGCCTTTCGCTGTTAATGGACTTCATTTATTTTGTTTATTTGCTATAAGCTATCGCTTGTTATTGCTAACAATTTAGCATCATTTATCCAGGTCTTCATATCAACTCCTCGTATTTTCTCCTTTTAATATAAATATATTATATATAAATCATATGATATGATATGTATATCTGTCTTTATCTATATCTATAAATCACTTCCAACTTTAGTTTCTTGTCTCTTTGTCTGCTACTCTCCTTCACTCTTTCGTTCTCTCTCTCTCCCGCTCCCTCACTTTCTACCTTACCCTTCCATTTTCCCTCTCTCTCTATATATATAGAGATATCCCTATATATCTGTCTCTTTTTATTCACTCTTTTTCGTATTCTTTCTCTGTCTATTTCCCTCTCTT